TTGCATGGAAAAAACCCTCAACTTAACTGATGTGTAGGTGATCTAGTATTTAGTATTGTTTAATGGAATGTATATCAGTGTATTCAAGTCAATACTTCATTCATTTAAACCAATATCTTTCTTCATTCTTTGTACAGTATGAAAAAAGAGTCTTTGTACCTGTGCTGAAGTTCACTGCTGTGAGGAGTCCAGTTCTGTCTCTCACTCTCTGGTCCAGCCTGTCTGCATCACCTGGACACCTTAAACAAACAGATATATATGTAAAGAACCATGTGTACAAACAATATAACTGATTCTCTTCTGTTGAACATGTTGGATTGTGTATTGTCCGAGTCAGGGGCCTTTTTATTTTACTGTAACTTTGGAAGTTGTGTTACCAATGCTTACTGTTTATTTGATACCCATTTGGTAATACAATTAATAAAAACAACAAGGTTTTGGTTCGTTCTTCAGATGACTGTGACGTTAACGTGTAAGCTCAATAATGAACTCCAGCTCAACCAACCATATTGTAATATCTAAGTAATCATCTTGAAATATGACATTAATAATTGTAATATACACACATCTTATTGTGAGGTTGATTTCACATACACTACTTCGACATTAGCTTGTCTACATACTTGAGCATAGTCAATTTAAATTAACCTTAGATGCATACAGTTCTACCTACATAATAAAATATCTCTAAGTTACAAGGATGTAACCTTATTTTATCAACCTCAAACAGAAGCCGTTTGTTCAACAGTATTATCCCACTTAACACTTGTCTATTTCGTTTTAACCTTTATATATACAGTCTATGATTTGAACTTGGAGGCTACGATTACAATCGTTAGCACCGATGTAGCTACCACTAGCTTACATGCTAACCCAAGCCTTACCATTCATTACGTAGCTGATTAAAATCATTAACACATAAATAAAGCACTAGAATTTCACTTACCGCAAAACCGCATTCATGCACCGTCTGTTTTAACCGCAGAGCGAGTCACAATAGTCCGATATATAAGCATGAAGAACAAACAACCACGGCCGGCTACAAGTTGTGTTTCCTGGATGAGCTGAGCAGGCAGAGTCCCTGTAGCTAGCTTCACGGAGCAGCTAGCAGAGAGACAAGAAGCTAACAGCGGCAGGCACTTGACAGAGCCGTCACTCAATGTGACCACGCCCTAGTTTATGCACAAACTTTAAGACCTAATATAAATAAAAGGGTCGCGTTAGAAAACAATTCACTCACAGATCCATAATCATGAAGGTGGAATCTAACTATATCGATAATAAAATGTATGGAGCCAGGGGTAGAAACATGTTTTTTTCTGCTGTAAAGTTGGGCATTTTAACATGGGGGTCTATGGAAATTGCTCCTTTCTGCAGCCATCGCCTATCGGCCAATATATGAACTGCAGTGTGTGGCACTTCCGTATTGGCTTCCCGGCTCTACCCCACAGTTTGCCGCTTGGTTCACACCAAAAAGAGCCGGTACTAAAATTAGTTCATGATAACCTTTTTACCCCCACGAAAGTCCCTGCTAGAGAGCAGGGACTTTCGAGCGGCTCTCTTGTGAGAAAATAGCTATATTTCTGATTGGCTGGGCGGATTGCAAACCACGCCCCGTAAAACTCCCAAAAGTTTTGTGAAGCCGCCATTTTATTATCCTCGCATTAGCATTATTAGCATTAGCATTAGCCCAGCGCAGAAACGCAGAGAGACTAACTTATGGCAACACAAAATAAAACATGGGAGCGGTGGAGATGAGGAGGTGTCGGCGTTCTGCCGATTTACTCGGAAGGCTTCAGTAGAAGCTGCTGGGAGTCCCAGCAGCTTCTACTGAAGCCAGTCCCCAACTCCGGGGACTTCCGGCCGGGGACTTTGGGCGGCAGTATACGGCGTGAAGTGGTTTGCGGCCTGCCAGTAAACCCAAAGCAGAAGAAGAAGAAGTGACGTCAGCGGCTTCATTTGCCCTAATTCACCCCCAGGGACTTATTCCGGTGTGAACGCGATCTGAACTTAGTTCATGAGAACTAAAGAGTTCTCATGAACTAAGTTCTCATGAACCTTTGTGGGAAAAGTACTGCGGTGTGAATGCGCCTATTAGCTTCATCACCAACATGTAGGCTTAGCATAGATGATAGACCTGAGTCCTTATTTGCAATTTCCAGATTAACCACTTCTCACACCACCTTTAACTTGAAGGATGTGGTAGAGCACTTCCTGGCTTTATCCTGAAATGTTGCGACTTTGACACAGTCTAATCACCGTAGTTTGCGGTCGTCATGCCGACAGTGCACCGCTGGCGTTGCTTCTCTGATGTGCTGGATGGTCCTTGAACGCAGCGTCGTCTCTCGCTCCAGTCTCGTTGTCTTTCCCACCCGCGCTGAGCAGGCGAGTTCTCACTGTAGCTCTTTTCACGACACAGACACAGGTCGGTTCTTTAAAACGGGCGTTTATTTCTTGGGAGTTTTCATCCTGTAGCCTTCCCTCTTCCGTTACGCCGTGAGAACTACAACACCGAAATGACACGCATACATAGCCAAACACATTAGCATATTGTGCTACACATATGAATGAAAACAAGAAAATGAAAACACAAAACAAATACCTCGTTGGCCGCTTGTCGTGAAAGGAGATGAATTTAGTTCCTTTTCTGCATAACTTCGTCACAAACCTCCCGTCACACTAAACTTTATCACATATCTCAGTAGAGCTTCAAAAAAGACGTCAACCCACGTTGAGTTGTACAGTGTAACAGCAAAACACGCAGTACAAGCACATAAACAAACATTAGTTCCTAGACACAAGAAACACATACGCATATCGGCCCAGGATGTAAAACAAACTGTATTAAATCATGCCATATTTAACAATTATAAAATAACATGAAATAAAGTATTCATTTATCCAATTGAACTATGACATTAACCGTGTTACTCCTTTTAATTAAGGCAACTTCGTTACGTCATTTACATTATTGTTTGTTCCAATTATGGAACTTCATACTTCCTGTTACAGAGACCTTAGTTTATCTCCTCCTGTTTTTTAAAGACCTGATCCCACTTGGTGATTCTTTATTTCTAACTCGCCAGGTTGCTCGAGGTCGTTATTGAACCTGTCCCTCTGCTGGTTTAATGGTTGAAAGGAGAATTATCATCTAAAGTTAGGGACCGTCCTAAAAGTGCAAGCAAAAGGCCCAAGAAACATTATTAATCTGCTAATGCCTTTTTTCTTCTTCTTCCATTTCACATATAATCTGTGTTCCATCTTTATCTCCACTGGCTAAATGTGTGACTTCATTTTTTTTTGTTACATTTTATAGCACACTGAGTTATAACGTCCCTTTTGTCCTGCCCTTTATTTACCATTATTACATGGTTTAGTTGAATACTCGATTCTGATAGGTCATTTCAGAACACGTGACACATTGTTAATCCAGAACAGACAGACCGCTGTCAAGGATTTATTGACCGTTGTTAAGGACTGTAAGAGTTGGTGAGGTCCTGATCATTTATTCCGGGAAATTACTCAGACCTACTAATTGACCTAACCGAAGTTATTGAGTCTATGTACGTTTACTGGTTGGCTCAGATCCACCAACGTCAGCAAGATCTCACCTCTATTAACTAACTCCCCGAAGAACCAGGTTAAATTAACTGCTGTTTCAATTCAGACAACTCTCTTAAATCTGTTTAAGCGATCCCGAAGGATTTTGATATCAGTAATGAGGTGTGGCCCTACCTAAGAGTGAGTGTGGCAGGGTGCAATCTTACCTTTGAAGCAGGAGAGGAGAGCGCAGATGTCTTTTAAGTTGTCCCAATCCAAAAGGTGGGATCAGTTTATTTGAAGAAAAATAGGTCCAAACTAATACAGGGTTTTTACCTTCTCTCTTTACAACATGATACTCATACTAAAACTATCATGCTGTGATCATGTTCTAATATGAAACCTCAATTCACAGTTTTACATTTATTACCAAAATGTTTAACTTCAACTGCCCAATTCAGTTGTGATTTTTATAAAATTGTAGAGGTCTTATCTCATAAAAGACCGGTGTTAATAAAAAGCTCATTCAAACTTTCATTCACCAAAAACAGTTCATTTTCTCATTTAGCTCCTTTCCTATCATGTAGAGAATTCGAACGGCACTTATCATGGCTTCCACTGAGGGACTTCCGGGTCATTTCACTCCGTTAGGAAGGTTCCTAAGCTGCGCATGTGCGAGATGGTCCGCCATATTGGACAACTCCGTACGGCATCCCAAGTAGGACACTTGACACAGTGGCTTTTGGCAAGAAATTGGCTTTTGGCGAGAAATGAATTTAACTTGTGTTAGACAGCTATCATACTGAATAAATATGTACTGTGAATGTATGCAAAAATGTATGGCATTATGTCTACCTGAAGTTAAATCCATTCCTCACTTATTCTGAAAATGTACTTAACCCCAAATAAAAGAACCCAATAAAAAGAGTTGTTGAATAATAGTGAAGTCAAGTTGTAATAACAAAAACTCATCTCTCTCGAGTTTTCTTTTTGAGCTTTGCCAAAAGCCACTGTGTCAAGTGTCCTTCTTGGGTTGCCGTACGAATTGTCCAATATGGCGGACCATCTCGCACATGCGCACTGCAGATCGGGCAGAGCTGCAGATCGGGTAGTGACAAGGGCTTAGTGTACATACATTTAGATTGAGAAGGATATGTTTAAAAGCACATTATAAATCTCAGAGAATAATAATTCTGACATTTAACATAAGAATATATTTTATTTCTATATATATATATTCTACATTATCATCACAATATTCAGCTGAACCACTTTTCCTCTCTTTACTCTAGATTCTACTCTATATACAAATGTACTTACTGTATACATTACTACATTGTAAATCTATTTGATGGCCAATTAGGGTGTGATATTCACACTTACAAATCTAATTGAATTTTGCTCTGTGAGCGCCATCTGCTGTTCACAGCTGATGTGAAAAACACAAGCAGAGCTCAGCATTCAGGTAAAGGCTTTAATGGTTCACAGAGAAGAGTGGACACACTGTCATTGAGTTAGCACAACAGAGACATATTCACATCACACACATTCAACTGTAGCCAAAAGTAATAAAGAAAACGTAAAATAACAAGTGATCAAAATTAATTTAGTCAATGAATCAAAAAAATCTAATAACAAATATTAATTTAGTTTAAAATAACAGACTCCACACAGTGTTTGCATCTGCATTACAAATAACTGAAAGAAGAGATGCAAACATTAAGTCAACATTTTGCTTGAACTCAACCTTTTCTACTTTTTGATTATAGACTCCCAATGTTAATCACTCCTATAAAGTTGTGTGACTGCATCTTGCAAGGTGTTGTCACCCGCCATCACAGTGACAGAATCATTACAAATAGAGACAGACAGATAGACAACAGACAGATAAATAGACACAGACAGAAGTATAAACACCTGGAGAGTACTTGTCGTTCCCGCCACAGTAGGTCTCTCTGGGGGCTCATTTTGCCCCTGTGATACACACAAAAACTCAGAAGGTGAAACAGTACCAGCTTTGTTGTTGCGGTTGTTAAAAACAGGACACACACAGACGGAAGACAGTACAGCAGACACAGTATAGAGTAACAGTTTGAGTGTTCGGGACACATCAATATGTCACTGCACTCCATACTTTACACACATGTTAGCAACACAGATCGACGGCAACAAGTGGGGTGTTACTTTAAATCAAACATTTAGTGCAATTAATTCCAAAGAAGAAAAATATTATTCAATAAGAGCCGTACGACCCTGTGACACAGATCTTAGGTTAGGCACATCTTTTTAATCCAAAATATGAACGAGTCAAGGAAGCTGTGCATGGCTTTTCAATACATTTCCAATAATTGTAGATTAAATTCAAAAGTCCAGCTTTTTTTCTCTTGAAGAACAGAATATTCATTTGAGGCACATTAAGCACAACGTATTTCGTTATTTAAGACAGTGTTAGTGTTGCTGTTACAGGATTCATCTTTAACGTCCTGGAGGATTTCATTCTTCATCCAGCAGTCTTCACTTTGAATACTTCAGGGCCAGCTAAACAAACAAACAGAAAAGCATTTTAAAGTCTGAAAATGTTCATCTTTATACCGTAGCTGATCAATGATTTCTCTTGTTGGAAATATGTATGTTGTAGAAACAGCTGTATTTGCACGTCACCTTGTGCGCAGTGTCTGCAAACTGCTGGGCTTTGTGCATCAGCTCCACAGTCTTGTCCTCGGTGAGACTCAGCTTGTCTCCACGCTCCCCCAGAGCCACATTCATCCTGTGGACTACATTACCCAGAGTGCTCCCTGTGACACGCTGCCCTGGTTGACCTGTTCATACACACAGAAGAAGAAAAAAGTATGTAAAGGTACTCAATGAAGAAGTCAAAGTATTACACATCCACTCTGAGGCCAGATAACCTTCTGTCCTTAGAAGGAACACAAACGTCTTCATGATCACCATCTGTGAGCTACAGTTTTAAAATAATTAGATTTTTTAGGGCTTTCTGTCGATTAAAATATTTAATCGCATGATGTCCATAGTTAATTGCGATTAATCGCAAATTAATTGCACATTTTTGATCTGTTCTAAATGTTCCTTAGAGGACTATTTTTCAAGTTTTGAATACTCTTATCAACATATGAGTGGACATTGACAAATATGCTTTATGCAAATGTTTGTTTATTATCATTGGAACAATGACAAATATTCTCCTGAATATTCTCAACACAACAACCTGGAACCTCTCTCTCTCTTTCACTCTCTCCCAACCCTGTGTACCACTGAGCCAGTTGCTCAAACAGACAAGCCTGTTTACAGTTGTCGGCGAAATGCCGCTCCTCTGTCTTCATAACAGTCAAAGCATGAGACGTTCCCACTGTGGGTCAAAATAATGCGCTGTGATGTGCAGTCGACACGTTGGATGCGATCCGAATGATCTCACGCAGTCCCTCGTCCTCCACAATGTTAATTGTCCTGCAAGCTGGAGCCACCCATTTAGCTATCGCCAGGCCCGGTTCCAGAACAAAATGACTCGGGGTGCATCTGAAATTAGAAAGGGTGCAGTGGTAAAGTGCTATTTTTATAAGTGGGGAGTGGACTTAACACCCTGGGCAGGGGTGTCAAACTCAAGGCCCGGGGGCCAAATCCGGCCCGCGACCTAATTTTATGTGGCCCGCAAGAGCTTGCAAAGAATATAATATACAATACAATTGGTGTAATTGTTGAATATTTACTTTCAATTATTTTCCCTAGACTTCTGCTTTCAGTCGTAGTTATTTAGGAAGATATTACCAGATCTGATAATAATCCAATGCCGGGACAACAATGTAATATAATACATTATTTAATATATATTTACATAATATATATTTATATTACAACCGGCCCTTTGAGTGCAACCATAATACTGATGTGGCCCGGGATGAAATTGAGTTTGACACCCCTGCTCTAGGGGGTCCTCACCTCCTCTAGGGGGTCCTCACCTCCTCTAGGAGGGTCTGGGTCCATGCTCACCCGGGCAGATTTTTTTTTAAATATTGAAGTTAAAAGCATCAATCTGGTGCACTTTGAGAGCAACATGAAGAGATCTATGGATACATCTCAACACCCATATGAAACAGAACTGTAAACAGATTTACTTTTTCTTTATGGATATTTTACAAATCACTCCCCTTTTAAGACCGAAATGTCTACATGCATAGCAGAAGATGGCATCTTTTTTACATGAATATTCCAGCCAATCTCTGCTTTGAAACCATAAGCTGCAAAATGAGCGCCTTACCCCACTGTACAGGCGAGTTGGGTACTTTTTAAATATACCTGGGCAGGCTCTGTTTAGCTGAGGTCCTCTGGCACTTGCGGGCCGTTGAGGGGTGGCGGTGTTTGGGGCAACGAAGACGGCTGCGGCTGCTCCGCCTCCGTGGGCGAGGCGGGCAAAGCCGGCGAGTCGGGCGGGAGGACCTTAGTGTCCACGACCATAGAGTGGCGAAGTCATGCCCATCTACTTCCGGTCCATGGGACCTTATTTCGGAAAAGTAATGTATTGAAGTCAATGGAGAGAGAAAACGTATCTTTCGATCCCGTTTGAATTGTGTCATGAATTACACATATGATGTTTGTCAATCTTAAAAAATAATTTCCATGTCAAAAAAGTCACAGTTTGTCGTAAAACTGTTGAAATATAAGACTATGAAAAATACGCAACTAGAAAGACTACAAATCCCAGAGTCGCGTAAGTGATGTCATAACTGTTTCCCCCCACTAAGAGATAGCTAAGATCAGCGCCATATAGTTAGAAGGCTTGTTTGAGACAAGCGAGACCTGCGCAATTTCGATCAACGTCTTGCTCGTGCGTTGCATGATGGTTAGTCATTTTGTCCGACTTGCTCTGGAGGCTCGCCTACATGAGACGTTGAAATCTCGCGGGACAAAGACGCCCGCAGCCTTGAGAGCGAGGCACGGCGAGGCGGCGCAGTTCCTCTCCACGGGCTGCGGAAGCGAAATGCTTGATGGAAAACGACTTGCTGGTATCTCGAGCTGAGCGCTCATTGGTGGTTTTTACCACGTGCTGGTGATGAAACTCTCCAATTGGCTCGGCAAAAGCTTGTTGTTGTTTTGTGTCAGTTTTATGTCGCCACTTCCATTCACATTTTTTATCATTGTCCACAATATTTATCATCATTAAATTAAAATCCATATATTTTATACTATACTTGCATTGCTTACCGTTTTCATACTTTATATATCTTAGCATATTCATACACACTGTTCATACTGCTCACATGCTGATATCTAGTGTATTCATACCCCTCACTGTTTATTCATCATTCAATTCATTCTATATTTTATTCTGTAGATTGTGTACATTACTTTTCACTTTACTGCTTGTTGCACCTGGTTAGAAGCTAAACTGCATTTCGTTGTCTCAGTACCTGTAATATGTGCAATAACAATAAAGTTGAATCTAATCTTGAGCAGGAACAAATGTATTTACTTAGTACATATCTGACATTAACGATTAAACACATGTGTGCATTCTTTATAAATGCAAACCGAGTCAAGCCGACTCCGGAGGCAGCAGTATGCACCTTCAAGCTGTTTGCAATCCGCCAAAAAACCGAGAGAAGAGAAGAAGAAGACGAAGCCGACTCCGAGCTGTCCGACTTCAGTCAAGCTTTTTGAGACCTCCCCCGGCTGCGATCGGCTATTCTCGTCTACTTTCGAGGCGAGCCGCAACGCGTCTCAAACAAGCCTAGAATCTATCTATATGGTGCTGGCTAAGATAAGATAACTTTAACAAGATGCCTGTGTGCTTAGTACCAGGTTGTTATCATACCAGCAATGGGTCTTGATCGTTCTTTCGCTTCCCGTCTGATGAAAGGACCAGGAGTGGCTGGCTGGATCAAGTTAGCTACCTAGCTAGTAGCTAGCACGTTAGTTCGCATTACAGCCTTGTCATTTGTATTAGCCTTAACATGAAGTAACATTAAGTAACCCAACATGTTAAACAGTAAGAGTAGTAGTCATATTTCGTGAACCCTTTGAAGAGTACTGTCACACTGGTGTGATCATTCAATCTTACACAATTTAAGCCCGGGGGAGAAATGCTAATGCTACATTAGCATCTGCGATATTTTCTACTTCACGCTACCTGCACAAATGGTTGACATTAAACATTAAAAAGATCAGGCAGTTCAGAGAGAATCAAAGGAAGGCAGGCAGCTTTGCATGACATTCTTCTGGACGTGTTTCATTGTGGTGATAGTGAGGGTAGGCAATCCTTTTGTTGACAAGACAGTAGTGATGGCCATCTTGGTGACGTGTGTTGTTCTGCTAGACCGGAGATGTAGTTCATTCAGCGTTTCACACAAACAAATGTGTTACTTCACAGTTTTACGACACATTTTTATTTTTTTGACTTGTAAAATTATCTTTTAAATTGACAAACATCGTGTAATTCGTGGCACAATTCAAACGGGATCGAAAGATAATCTTTCTCTCTCCATTGACTTCAATACATAATTTTTTCCGAAATAAGGTCCCATGGAGGTCCACCGGAAGGGGAGGGACTTCGCCACTCTATACTTGCCAACCCTCCCGATTTTCGCGGGAAACTCCCGATTTCATTGCCCTCTCCCGGTTTCCTCCCGGGGTCATATTTCTCCCGATTTCTGACAAAATCAGATTTACTCAGGACTGTTTCCACTCGGACTTTAATATAGCTACACAATTGTTTGGTTTCCATGGTAGCACGTCTCTTTAGTAGCGCGCGCAACTGAAAGTCTGAGAGGGTGAGGAAGATATATCACAGAAAACAGAACAAGAATCGACAACTTTACCATCTGCTCACTCCTTTCCTGTAAAATACAGGTCCAGCCCACACATGTGCTCCATCAAGGATGGTGCTTCAGGCCGCAAGTGAGTGCACTTACAACTACAATAAGCATGTTAATGTTAATCTAGTACAGCTCCGGCGATCCACTAGCACAGCACCCCTCCCCCCCGCGCGGTGGTTTTGAAATTCTCCCGATTTCTAAGGTCTCAAGGTTGGCAAGTATGTCCACGACAGTGGCCGCGGGTAACGTAATGTCCCCATGATCTGAACTGTTATTACCTGGAGTAGATGCAGTGTTGCTGCTGGGGATAAGGGCTGGTTGTTTTAACCATTTTCTGATATCCATCATTGACTGCTGTGTAAGCACCTTGCAGATGACGAATGCGCAGCGGCACAGGTCACGCGCAGCTGACATAGGCTAATAACGTTACTTACCGTTTAAATTGACCAAATAAATGCAGCAGCGATTTTATTCAACCACAATTACAATTTATTTTATTTCAACTATATTCTTCTTCTTATTATTATGATTACTACTATTATTATTATTCTTATTATTGTTGTTATTATATATGTCATATTTTTCCCTTTTTTTTCACTTCAAATGAGGGTGCATAACGACTCAACTGAGGGTGCAATGCACCCTTATGCACCCCCGTAGAACCGGGCCTGGCTATCGCTGTTGAAAGCTTGCTGCTCGTAGACGCCGTATCCAGGCGTCTCCCCGGCAAACTTTCAAGCGTGGTCTGCCGCAAGCGAGCGACTGTCAGCATCAGCTGTGTGCTTGGCTTGCTGTTTAAAAACACCTTTTTTGTATCCATATCTCTCGCAAGAATCTCCCACCATCCAACTAACAACAACAACGTCAAGCCCTTGGGCTCTGAAACTAAGAGGCGGGCCGAGGACAAATACACATGCGTTAATCGCACGTTAAAATTATTAGTGGCGTTAAAAAAAAAATTAACTTGACAGCCCTCATTTTAAAGCCTCTAATGGTCTTGGGCCTAGCAATTTATCGGCTTTGCTTTTAACCTATGAGCCCTCTAGAACCCTCAGGTCTTCTGGTACTTTTAATCATAACCAAAGTGAAAACAAAGACCCACGGTGAGGCGTCTTTTTATTATAACAGTCGAGGACAGACTTTTATCATTTCGCTTTCAACTGATTTGTAATTTATTCTTATTTGATTGTAAATGTATTCTTATTTTATTGTAATGTAATTTTTGTACATGTGTATATACTGTATACTGTGAGTTGGTATTAAATGTTCTTTTTAATCACAAAACTATGTGTTACTCGGGTTATTACCCGGGAAGGACGAGAAATTATTGTTTTTATTTTTAAATGATCTATGTGTTTGGGTTTTGAAGCACTTTGAGTTACCTTTGTGTTTGAAAATGCTTTATAAATAAAGTTTGATTTGATTTGATATAGGGACTGACATGGCCCATGAGAGCAGGTCACTACTGTCTCAAGCAGGGCTAGAGGTCAAAGTGTATGCCAATCGAGGTTAGCTGTTTTTTTGGGGCAACCTCCAAAGACTTGTATTCTATAGGCATTACTGGAAAGAAGAGGCAAAGAGCCCCTAAGAACTTAACAGAGGATCAGGAGGTTCATTGGAAGGCCACCTGGAGAAAAGGTATGCTCTGATCCTCCACGGCTGGGTCGCTGGGTGTTTTCATTTCCCTCCTTCCAGAAGAAGCTCTGTCCTGAAAGTGCTGTCAGGAGGAAAGCTCAGAAAATTCATCTGCATGCATCCCCTGGGGACCATGAATATCGCCAGTTAGAACTTAGACCCAGAAATGGTCACTGCAGTCATGTTGCAACAAAAATATGTTTAACTAAACTCCATTCAACCTGTTGAAGAACCCTAACCCAACCTGTTGAAGAACCCTAACCGACTCAATAGAGCACCACACCATCATTATCAACAGCAGCACAGCCACAGGTCGACTGAGGTTAAGCACTCGGTGCTGATGGACTGTGACTCGGAGCCTTGCTTCAGCCTGGCACGTCCCCCCCCCCCCATCACACTGGCCCTGTCAGAGGGTTCAATGGTGCGCCGGCTCCCTGTCAGTCTCAAAGCTCCGGGCTTCCTAAAGACCGGCTATTGTATCGACCCCACCGAAATAAACAAAGTCTCCTCTCATCTGACCGCCACACCACAGAGAGGCTTTCTGCTGCACAAGAGAGGTGCAGCACAGTGAGGACAATGGACAAAAAGACAGAAGGGAAAACAATCCAATGAGAAACAAGCTCAGACACTGGTATACAGTGAAGGTAGGGGGGAACAGGATCTGTGACAGGACGTTTTTAATCCCAGAATACTCAGGAAAAGTGACAACGTTCCCTAAAATTCAAAAGTTACTGAGAAAATGTATATAAACAGTATTCCGGTTCAGTGCAGAAAAATAGTTGGCAATGTTCCTTACTCGAGTATTCATCTTCTGTGCAGCCTTTTAAATAATTTGGAGATGCTTATGTGCTCAGATCCACCTTCTCTACATCCCTTTGGAACTGTAGCAAGTGTTTGTGATTGTTGCACATTAATGAATTACAGCTGCAGCGTCACCGAAAAAAGATTGCTTCTGTTTAAATGCATATTACTGATCTACACAACCTGAGTAATGGCTCACAGATTGCTCATGTTTGTGTGTGACTCTACCATGAGTGTGTGTTACGCACAAGTGTGAGCACTGTCAGAATGCAGGCTGCCACTAGGAGGCTCAAAACAGACAGGGGTTGGTGACACAGCAGTTCGTGGAATTTTGATATTACAGTTAGCACGTCCAGATTAAAATGTCTTCTTCATTCTTTGTTCAAGAAGTTTTTTACTGGAACTGAATTATCTGTAAAAGGTTTTTTTTCAAAAGCACTGTTAAAGGTGGGGTAGGTAAGTTTGAGAAACCGGCTCGAAATACACTTTATGTTATATTCCATGGAATGCTCTTAACATCCCGATAGCAATGAATATCTGAAGTGCTTTGACAAAAAATCCATAAAAAAATGTCATCTGTGGAAGCCGTGGTACTGTAAAAAGCACGACCAATCATTTTAGCCGGCCCGGCTAAAGTAACTGGATGGCCTACCTGCCTGTCAGCCTTCCATCTGTGCACAAACCTATCTCGTGCCCTCATTGGTCATGTGCGCGTTCGTGTGTGTTGGAGGAGGGGCTCTGTGAGGAAGTGGCAGATTTTTTCCGGCTGTGTATTTTCAAATTCTCAAGCTGGTTTCTCCAAAATGACCTACCCCACCTTTAACTGTTTGACTATTCAATTTAAACTTTGGCTTTGTTGCCCCCAAGGTGAAATCTCCAGCCAGTTTAAACATAGAATGCTGAAGGCGTAGGCACGGACCACGTTACAGTAAACAAGATAAATTAGGTAAATCCGGTAATGACAACAATAAGAACTCTATCACCAAATATCAAATTAATCAGCAGTTATATTAAAGTTATAGTTAACAATTTGGTGGTCCGCTTTTTAAAGCAATATTGACATGCAAATACATCCATTACTTGAGGGTAAATAAAAAAACAAAGGGATCACTTGATTTATCTTAGATTGAGTTAAATTGCATTGTATGTCGCACAAATAATACAAGACAACGCGATCTGATTGGTTGCGTACAACCACTAAATCTGGCTAAGCTGACACAGGGAACATATTACAATCTCCAACCCCCAGTTTATAACACAGGTTTTCTGATATATATAAACAACTATGAGATAAACATTTAACTTCTGCTGTATAATCAGTTAATGCGTGAATTAAGTGCTCATTTAATTACATCCTTACCCCGAGCAGGTGATCGGCTTTTGTTGGCAACCATCCTGTTCTTCAGTCGATTCATGAAGACTTTGCAGCGGAAGATCACCAGATTCATGGTGCAAGCTTCTGCAAGATCAAGGTGAACATATTACAACTGGTCACATATGAACTTCATCGGAAGTATCGCAAACCTTTACACTGACAAACTCAAACGTTGGCAATGTACTTTTTTTATTGATTAGTTGGGTAAATAACCAACAGATACATTAAAAACAATTGTTAGTTTAGAACATATTTTGTATTTGTCCATTTATACACTGATAAAACTGAAATGTTGACTTTAATTTAATGTTGTATGTCAACAGATTTCACATAACTGTATTAGGTTAGTTGAAAGCAACAATATCAAGTTGAACCAACCTAATACAGTTATGTGAAACTGTTGACATAATACATTTAATTAAAATCAACGTTTCAGTTTGTTCAGTGCATGAACTACATGTAATGCAAACCTCTACACTGAAAAAAAATGAAACGTTGACTTTAATTTAATGTATTATGTCACCAGATTTCACACATCTATATTAGGTTGGTTCAACTTGATATTATTGCTTTCAATTAACCTAATACAGGTTTTCAGAGGTTTTATCAGTGTACATTTATATATTTTTCAGTCTACCTGCTGTGAGTTTGGGTTGGCAGTTGATGAACTCTGTCTGTCTGGGAGGAACGTAGCTCTTCCTCCTGGACTGCAGGGTTCTGGGTGCAGGGACCGGTGAGGGGACGCTGCGCCCGGCTCCCACCTCGAGGGGGGCGCTCTGACTCCTCTGGCGGACCACTTTTCCTAGACTTCCTACTTTTCCTTCCCAGTAGGTCTTGCAGGCATGGTACAGGATCTGGATGAAGAGACACTTCTCTGCTGAGGAGCTGGCCACCCATTGGTCCACAGCCCCGTCAAACACCAGGTCAAACTCCGGGCAGTCCTGGGGGAGCAGGAGACAGGCCGGAGAACGCATTTAGGAGACATTAACCATATATATCCTACTGCTGTTAATAGCAGAATGTTGGATAGGGCTGACCTTGTTAGGGTTGATGCCGTTGACCTGGCGGAGCTTCTCCACCGTCCACTGGGTCCTCTTTGTGAAGGTGGAGGAGCCACCAAACTGCTTCACCTTTGTAATGAGGAGCTGATGTGGCCTTGTGTTGGTCACTAGGTAAACAGATAATATGCAAAATATGCTTTAATATCACTATTAAAAGAGTTCAATAATGGTTTTAATTATAGCTGCACAGAAGACACTGAAAATATCTTTACAAAACGTCTTAACCTTGACTCATTTATAATTCTTGAGTTGGGAATAAATGCTGAATCCAAGCAGCAGAACATACACGAACATAAGAAATGTAGCAACCCTAGAATACTAAAAGCCTCACATAAACCTGCAGAAATGCAGTAATGCAAAATGTCAACACATTGGAATCTTTTAGGACCTTCAACTCGTTCAGGGTTCTTACCACTGATATACAAATCACAAAATGCAGGCACTAGTTGGTGCTGGCAGGGAACTATTGAAAAATTGTATGTATTATTACAAAATATTCTGTCATCTATCATTTCTCAACTTCTCCTAAAGGTTTCGATTTCTACCGTTGTACCGTTTGATAATCGTTCTTGAAATCAATTACTCAACTAACTCTTGTTTTACCTATTCCCATCGTTGATATTGTTACTTACATTTTTAGTGTTATTTGTATTATAATTATTACCCTTGTGTGAACTCTTATCTGTCCTATCCTGTGTGTTACTCTTGTTGCTTAAAACCTCTTTATCTTCCATTTCCACTGACAGTTGGACCCCTGCTCTCTTCCAGCTCTTTACCGTCCTAAACAATGGCTCTGCTGTGACCCGTGACGCACCGCTCAACAATTAATCTGCTCGGAGCCAAAAACAACAGTGTTTAACTTTCACAAAAACAGGCTAAGTTTGCAAAAGTAAGGCTATAAGAAACAACTACAGTGTAAATGTGGATGCAGGTTGAATCCACACACTTGCTAAAGTTGCTAATGTGGTAACACGAATGAAGGATGGTTTGTGGTCTGTTTTTATCACCTACTGCTAACAAACTATCCATGAGCTTTGAACATGAGAGTGGCTCAAAGTGGTCAACAGTGGGGTCCCTTTGTGGCATGTTATATGACTTCCTGTCCCTTGATCCTTTGTCTTTATCCAAAAGTAATAGTATACAAGTTATCAATATGAGTTTTGTTGTGATCTTGGGCAGCAATAGGACCTCCAAAACAACAACAGACTGTTGATAGTATTAAGTATTGCAAAGAAGCAGATAGTATTAAAAATATGAAATTGTAAAATAGTATGTATTGCACATAGGAAATGAAATGTAGCCTCTTGGATGACTCCGTAATGTCCAATAATGTGCACTGTCCCTAATAAATAAACACACATAAATATAAATAGATAAATAAATAAGAATTGTTATTGCACCTCAGTGTTACAGTCTTGGTGACTGTAAAGTGATCAATAATGCACAGACTATGAATGTTAAGATCGTTTCCATTAAATGAAGAATGTCTCGAGTCAGATTGAACCTGAAACACAGATGAACGTGTTGTAGTCTCCTCCGGCTCCAGTGGGCAGGAAGGACATCCTCTTCCTCTTCCTCCTCGACACCTCCACCGCAACCAACATCCGCTCATCCCGAGGGATGAAGAGCTCTTTGTTGATGGCAGACTGAATGCTCATTGTAGTCCTGAGACCTGCACAGGGATGGGTGTGACTGTGCTTAATACAGTACGGAGTGTGTACGAGCAAAACACTGAAAGATGCTCCAAAATAAGAGCTGTTTTCTTTTGAAAAAACTCTGAGAAGAAATCGCCCGATCAGAGGAACCTGACCTCCTGATCAGAGGAACCTGACCTCCTGATCAGAGGAACCTGACCTCCTGATCAGAGCCTTTACAATACAGAAAAAGGTAATGAATCGTTCTTTAAGGACAGGACATTATGTCAAGCTAATATTCACTATAATACAACAGCATACAGCGCAACAAATGTGTGTGGATTATTTTTACAAAGGTTTACTTTGATTCTTTGAAAAGCTATTTTTCTATTATAATCATCTATTCTATTACGTGGCCCAACACAACATGAAATGGAAGACAATACGTTTTAACAAGGAGTGAGATGATATGAATAATACATTTGTCAATAAATATGTCATGGGTGTGTTTTTGGTTCTTCAATGTATTATCTGAAATGTTGAAGGGATACTATTGACTATTGATTTTTTGGGTGAAATGGTTCTGTCATCTAATCAACCAAAACTCATGCAAGGCATGTACGTACAAATAAGAATAATAAAATAGTGTTTGAAAAAAAGTATGTTTCAGTGTGTTAGACAACATCACTTACAATACAATAGATTAAATAAATGCATTTCGTCCAGTGCTGAAATGATTTTTGTATTGGTTTTTTTTGTAAAGGGACGGAAAAATAACGAGTTTATTCTCAAGCAAAAAGAACAACAATTATTTCGCTACAGCCTTACTCTGTTTCTGTAACAGTAAGCTGAGTGACTTTGTGATTTTGATCAGAGAAAACAGGAAAATAAATCAACAAATCAAATCATCTGGGGCAGTGTGCAGTGACCTCCAACCGCGTGCAGAGGAGATATAAAGATCCAAATAGTGGATTTTAAAGTTTAAAATAAGTCTAACAAATAATTAGTTGAGTGTTGATGTCATTGTATTCCTGTTTAAGTAGTTTGCTGCATCAGTCCACACATGATGGATCCTAAGAGCCAGAGGAGCTCTCTGTATAAATGGTTACTCATATCACAAAAACATCTGTAGCAATCTACTCACTGAAAAAACTGAAACATTGACTTGAATTAAATGTATTATGTCAACATATTTCACATAACTGTACAAGGTTAGTTGAAAGCAATAATATTAACTTGAACCTAATATGTTTTATTTAAATGTAATATTATTGCTTTTAAGTTAACTAACCTAATACAGTTATGTGAAATCTGTTGACAGAATACATTTAATTCAAGTCAACATTTCAGGGTATTGTATTGATTAGTTGGGTAAATAACCAACCGATAAATCCAAAACAATTCTTAGTTTACCACTTCTACAGTATATAATGTATTGTTGGTTCTACAGGTGGAGAGAGGTTTGTCCTACCTGTTGCTGTCCGGCTCTTCTGACTCCTGTAGGATCTCTGGAACAGACTGTCCTGTTAGTTTAGATAGGAGTTAGTAGCCAGCTCAATTAGTGAAATATTTCCCAGGATTCTGTCACGAACGTATCACGGCACACCAAGCGGCGTGCCTTGCTGTAAAGGCGCAAATCATCCTCAGTCCATCCCATTTCAAGAGGTTGACGTGCACGTGGTTAAAGGCTGAAAGACAGAGGACAAAAGGCGGCTGTCTCTAAAACTGAGGGAGGGGGGGGGGGGGGGGGGGAGTCCAATTCGTGATCCAAATTGTTCATTGTTTCAGACTTTATCTTTAAATTATCACATAAATAAATCACAATTGCCCCTGCTCGAGATATGACCTGCAATAACCTCTTTCCTCTCAGAAAGACACAGGAAGAAGTCACATGTCAGTAGCAGGCTCAGCTATGACATTTAATTAAATAAGGTCAATTGCGTATTATTATTATTTATTTGTTTTATTAATTGCATTTTATTATTTAATGTCTGATTAAAGGTGGGTTACGTAATCTATTTCAGAAACACTTTTTGTTATATTCAATGGAATGCTCTCAACATCCCGATAGCAATGAATATCTTAAATGCTTTGACAATAAATTCGTAAAAAAATGTCATCTGTGGAAGCCGTGGTGCTGTAAAAAGCACGACCAATCATCTGAGCCGGCCCGGCTAAAGTAACTGGATGGCCTACCTGCCTGTCAGCCTTCCATCTGTGCACAAACCTATCTCGTGCCCTCATTGGTCATGTGCGCGTTTGTGTGTGTTGGAGGAGGGGCTCTGTGAGGAAGTCTGAAGGAAGAGACAGATTTTTTCCGGTTGTGTACTTTCAAATTCTAGCGCACTCGAGCTGGTTTCTCCAAAATGTCATACTCCACCTTTAAGTTAATAATTACCACTTGGTTTCAGTTCTTCAAAAAGTTGCTTAATTAATGTTCACACTAAGAGCAAGGCAAAAATAAGACATCAGGAAGATTGAAGGTGTTTCATAGACACAACTCAATGAGAACAGCCTGTGTAACAGACTGAATGAACGTTGTTCATGATCTTGCCCTCAAAATACTGAAACATTGGTAAAAAATACATTTTTGAAACAGAGTTCACATTACTGTATTAGGTTACCCAGCTAGCGGGGAACGTTCTCACAACTTTGGCTAACGTTACCTATTGGTTCTAATAAGGTTTTAAAGAAACGTTTTAATCTGATGTTCAAAGAACCTTTTTAGGATGTTTATTTTTTCAAATAATGTTCCTGTAAGGTTTAAGGTTAACTGAGACATAACGTTTTAACTGCAACATTCAGAGGATGTTTTCAGGATGTTATTGAGGCCTGAGATGACAGAAAGTTTTTTTATAAAACATTCCTTTAATGTGATATGTTAACAAAGGTGGAACGTTTTGCCTGCAGCATTCTAAGGATGTGTTTTGGACGTTGTTGGGTAACACATTAAAGATGTTCTTTATAAAATGTTCCCTCAATGTTACATGATAACAAAAGAAGAACATTTTCCAAGAAACATTCTGAAAATGTTTTCAGGATGTTATTCTTTTTTTATAAAACGTTTCTGTGATGGCAAATATTAACACGGTCATGGTCAACGTCAGATTTATTTCTAGAGCACTTTAAAAAACAAACTTGTTGCATTTGTTTGAAAAGGATGTTTTAAAAAAAATCGTAATTCATGATAAGCTGTAAGCAGATATTGCATGTTTGCGGTGGCAGGTGGTAGTTCCCAGCTAGAAATGTTTGTTACCATTCGTTGTTCGAGGAATGTTTTCAGCGGGACTGTGACGGAGCGGATCACATGAGTGACTGACTCCGCTACTGACAGCCGACACACACACACACACACGCACACACAACACACCAAACATTTCGGAGAAAAGACGGAGGCGCATCACTTCCGTGTTTTAAATTCCTGGTTCGCTATTTATTTTTTTGCTGCTGAAAATAAAGTTTTGGAACTTACCCAACCGACTAGGCCAGTGTTTTCGGACGGAAAATTAGAACCCCGTCACATATGGTGTCAGAAGTGGGATGGCTAGTCGGAGGAAGCTGGGCGGCGTTGCGGAGCGGCACACGGGACTACGATCCCGGCGTCAGCAGCAGGAGGAGAGCGCGGCTGCCGGGTCGGAGCGGGCATGGGAGACGGAGGACCAGTGGCGGCGCTAGGGGGTGGCTACTTGGGCTCAAGCCCCGGATGTTTTCTGAAAAGCCCCGGATGTTTCACTTAAAAAAAAAAAAAACCGTCTCGGGAGTAATGTGCAGTACCGGAGTCCACCAGAGAGGCAGCCACTGTGGGACATTAGCCTGCGTACTGCGTAGCCTGCCCTGAAGAAGAAGTGATCCTTCCTAGTGCCTGACGAGTTTTAAGCTAATAGCATATACAGTTATGGATATTAGAAAGTTATTGTCATCGAAGCAGGCCACAAGCTGCAGCAGCAGCAGTATCAGCAGCAGCAGTATCAGCAGCTGACAACAACGTCATCACCAGCAGTCAAGAAATGGATGATGTTTCAGGTTTTTTAATCTAATGGTGATATCTGCACTCTGGCTGACTGAGTAAGAAGTGAAAAAGAGTGATGTAACGTTAATGTTATAGCTAGTAAACATGGAGTAACCACACTAAGTATACCCTTATGTGTTAGTATGTATACAGAACATGACTAAAAAGTATCCTAAAATGTAACGTTAACCCTTCATAACTCAGTCTACTTTTAAGACACTAAAATAACGTATTCCAATTTTTATTTTGTTTTCACGCGTGGAATTATACCGGCTCTCGTTTCAGTACACATAACAACAGAACTGACAGGCAACCCTCTGAATTTATTTTACGTTTGTTGATTATGGGGAATGATTATGTTAAGAGGTGGTTAACCTGTTTATGTTTGGGTTGGATTTTTATGTTGAAATGTGGTTTGGAGTTTAATTGTTGTCATCTGTTGACGGTAAGCCTGGTGGGAGGGGCTATGGGTTAATAAGGGACGGGGTTGAACCTGGAAGGGGAACTCGGGGAATGTTGCAGAGAAGGCAACAGCTGGGACGTGTTCGAGAGATCGTTGCAGAGAAGGCAACAGCTGAACACGTTTACTCTCCGGGAGTGATGGACGGTCTGATTTGGACATTTTTGTTTGTTTGTTTAAGTTGTGCTGGTTCGCTATTTATTTTTATGCTGCTGAAAATAAAGTTTTGGAGCTTACCCAACCGACTAGGCCAGTGTTTTCGGACGGACAATTAGAACCCCGTCACAGGGACGTTTTATTTTGGTTCCCAGAATGTTCTTCTGAAAGGTATGATAACGTTCTTTAAAAACATTCTTGAAATGTTTGGTGATAACCTTCTTAAGATGTTTTTGATAACATTGTTAGAACATTATGCCCTACTGTTCCTAAAACGTTTTCAGCGGGACGTTTTATTTTGGTTCCCAGAATGTTCTTCTGAAGGGTAGGATAACTTTCTCTAAAAACATTCTTAACATTTTTGGTGATAACTTTCTTAAGATGTATGAGCGCATTGAGACAATGAGTTGGGACGTATAAAAACGAATTTATGCATGCCAATATTCACTCGCATGCACTTATAATCCCACTAAGGTATGTAGGCCCACAGTATTCATATCATGTGTAAAATATCCGAAAAATAATCACACTTTTTTCTGGCTATAAAGGTTGTGTCTCGTATGTAGGTTCTAACTGTTAGATAAGCTATCTGGCCGTGTGTGGTTTGTGAGGGCTGCGTATGAACAGTGTCCGCTGTTTATGCATATTGGATAAAAATCGTTATTGCACCCTTTAGATTTGAGACCGACAGACAGTGTTGGGAAAGTTCACTTTCTACATGAACTAGTTCAGTTCACAGTTCACACATTTTAAAATGAACTAGTTCAGTTCACAGTTCACACATTTTAAAATGAACTAGTTCAGTTCACAAATTTTAAAATGAACTAGTTCAGTTCATAGTTCATAATTCTAAATGTTTAACTAAAGTTCATGGTTTAAAAAATGAACTAGTTTATAGTTATTTTTTCAATACGTTGCTGCGAGCTATTATTTGTCAAAATGATTGCCACAACCCATATAGAACCACAGACAGCAATCAGAATACTGGCATTTCCATAACGCTTTGCTGCCACCCATTCAGTCCACACTAGTAGCAGCTGCAGCTTTCATCTCTACAGTATATTTTCAAAAACATGAGGAAAAACGTGCTGCTTGAATGGTCTTTATTAAGTATAAGAATCTAAATATACTTAAAGTACCAAAAGTGGTCATTGTGCAAACAGAACACAGTTTATAGGCAAACGTTAGATTTTTCCCGTCTGAGTCTGTACTGACTTTATCGTAAAAGTCTTTTAAATGCTCATACGCCGACGCCGTAGAGTCTTATGGAGGACGGAACATGACTTAAGTATAAATAAATAAATGTATGAAGAAATACAGGAATAAATAAATAAATACGTAAATAAATAAATAAATACAGGAATAAATAAATACAGGAATAAATAAATGACGAAATAAATACAGAAATAAATAAATGTTGAAATGAATACACAAATAAATAAATAAAAGAATAAATGCATAAATAAATGCATAAATAAATATGGAAATAAATACATCAATGTATAAATAAAAGTCGAAAATAAAACAGAACACACGTTATTATATATCTTTCATTTATTTCTACATTTACGCGACATACATTTATTTATTTATGTATTTATGTGTCCGTATGCTAATGAGGTGGGCGGTCCTAACCTCAGTCTGAAGCAGGATTCGCCAATTGTTGGAGCCAGGCAGAAGCAATAGAGTCGTGGCAAGTCACATCATGTCGAGCTGAGCCAAGTCCTCTATACATCGTTCCACACGAAACTGGACATAGTCTTTTGGTTCTCCGTTCTCTAAATGGTCCGCTAATGATCGTAAATGATCTCCAATGGCTCTTAAATCAATATCCATAAATAAACCTTACAACTGTGGATAAACCATGGATGTATAAAGATAAGGGCTAAACAGTAAAGCTCCTGCATTCGAATCAGCGCGGTTATCCAGGCGTTAGTAGTAGAGCCCTCTGCCAGAAATGATCACACACTCCTGTAACCAATCCTGCTTCAGACTGAGGTTAGGACCGCCCACCTCATTAGCATACGGA